TGCAGACCATTTTGACCATGCAAATTTGTTTATTAAACAAACCATGCAAATGGGTTGGCTCGAAGGCCAGGAGTGATCCCGGGACTCCTTATCTGAGCTCTAGGTAGGTGCTGCAGGGAGCCGACTGCGAGACAGTAGCCGATTCCCCTCATCCTGTGTCAAGTATCTGAATGTAACGTCAGGACTTGACTTGGACAGATTGAATTTCTTCCCCTTGGCCCTGGGGATTGAAACCAGGGGCGCTTAACCACTGAGCCACATCCCTGGCCCTTTTTGTATTTTATTTAGAGACAGGGCCTCGCTGAGTTGCTTAGGGCCTTGCTGATTTGCCAAGGCTGGCTTTGAACTCGTGATCCTCCCGCCTCAGCCTCTGGAGCACTGGGATGACAGGCGTGCCCCACCCCACCAGCTGCTTGCACAAACTTAGTGCCTTAGATTTTCCCTGCATTTCTTCCCTAGTCAGGTCTCCCAACTAACCCTAAAAACATTTGCCTGCTCTTTGTCTTCGTTGTATCAACAACATGGGGCAAAAAGATCCATTGGGAAGACGGGCCTTCGCAGGCCCAGGTGTGTGCTGGGCGGTACTTGCTGGGCGCCCTGAGGCAAGGGGCTTCCTCTTTGAGTCTCGGTTCCTCAGGCACAGCTTGGCCACAGGAACAGCAAAACAGGTGAGGGGTGCAGAAGCACTCGTAGGGAAGAGGCCTGACTGGAGGCAATACCCGGGAAATGGCCTCTGCTCAGGGGGTGACACCTGTCACTGAGAGCTGAGAAATCCTGCCCTGCTCAGAGGAGGCAGTGGGAGGAGGCAGTATCCACTCCATGTTGGAGCTGAAGAAGCAGACGGGGAGGGGTGGAGAAGGTGTCCAGTAAGGCTCTGTTCACCCAGGAAACACTGGGGACCCTACCGTGTGGGGTGTGTGGGGACACAAAGACCGACACCATTAGTACTCTGCTGCACCTGCCACCCCACCAAAGCCCCACTGCCCTCCTCAGCAAACCTTCCTGGAAAGCTCTTCAGGGTGTTTTCACCTGAGTGGCCTCATGAATACGGAAGAAACTGAAAACGTCATAAAGATGCCTTCCTAAAACCTGCCTGCCCATTGCAAGGGCTCCATGAACCATCCAGCCACAGATGAGCCAAGAGATGGAAGCGCGGTTCCAGAACACTGAAATGATACAGAGCCGCCCCACACCTGACTTATAAGGCCACCACAGGCTGACCACAAAACTCAGGATGACAAAAGGGGGAAACACTTGGAAACATAGATGCAAAAGTTCTAATTAAAAAGTTCTGATTCAGCAATATGTCTAAAGAATAAAACATTGACCAAGGAACACGCATCTAGGAATATAAGGGTTATTCAACCTTGAAAAACTTGTTAATGTCCATTTCAATATTAACATATTAAAAGAGGGAGCATATAGCAGTCCCATGAGTGGTAAGAAAACATGGGTTTTATTTTGTTTTATTTTTTTGCAGCGCTAGAGAGTGAACCCAGGGCCTTGCACATGCGAGACATGTGCTCTATCCCTGAGCCACAGACCCACTCCAAGGTTTTTTAATATTAACAAACCAGGAATTAGAGGAAATTTCTTTATCATAAAGGCATCTAAACTAAGTCTAGATCAAGAATCAGAGTCGGTGATGGAGCATTAAAAATATTCTTATCATTAGACTTAGGAGTGAGGATGATCATTATTTCATATTGTGCAGGAAGAATGAGCCTACATAACAAGAAAAATACTGAATATAAATAGCAGAAAGAAATTAAACAGCTGAGCATG